GCTGTCAGCTTTGTAAATTTATTCTTACAATAGCGGGTTTTGACAGAATTTGTAAAATGCTTTCCCCCCTGTTTTTGAAATATGATAAATGTGACATACAGCTGACCTTTACACAAGGCCACATGTTAATATTCAGGACCATGCTTTTGTTTGTCTTGAACAATGCCTGTCATTAAGAAAGCGTAGATTGCCAATATGACCCTCTGTTAGAACGCTGGACCATTCCTGATTGGTCACCAGGAAGCATCATGTGCCTTTGATTGAAATGACATGGAAGATGTATGGTCAAAGTGCTGTACTCCGCACCACTGCTGTGATGTGAAGAAAACCACTTTGACCCAAATAGACCTGCACTCAAACAATGTCGCACCAACCAAAGACAACATATTGGGAAGAAAAATGCTTGTAAACTGCGTGTGCTGGAAGATGTATTAGCCAGACGGCCATAGGGCAATCTTTGAACTATTGAAATCTTTAGAAATATTGTTTAGTTCTTGAACAATACTTACAAACCTAATTAATCAAGCGTAGATGGTTATGTTCGCTCTATACATAGTGAATCATTTTATTGTAAGAATAGGGCTGTCACATTTATTTTGCTGACCGCTTCACAGGTGCTTGCGTCCAAAAGCTTATTTTGAACATACATTTTAACACCAATTGTGATTCAAATTCCAAAAATACATTACGAACAGATCCATGACATATTGCTAACAATTAATATGCTTCCAAGTGTTTGTGTTTGTTTCCATTTTTATGTTTATATTTTTCTTGGGCTATGACACACCATTTTTAGAGCTTTGTTCTTGTTATTTTTAATTTGCAGTAGGAACATTTTTGACAGCTCCTCCAGATAAGTATTTTAAACCTGCTTTATTATTAATGAGTAATGCTGCAAGCAAGCTGTACAGTTTCAATCTAAAATTCATCAGATAAGTACAGCTTTATCCTGGAAAGTGCTGAAAAACTCCAGTGAATTCCCACATTCCTTCAACTCCTGTTGAATTGAATGGGAGTTGAGGGCATTCAGTTCTTTGCAAGATTAGACTGTTAATATAATATCCAGGATGCCACTAGTTTCCAAAGTCTGGCACATCAACATACAGATAACTATTGTCTTAACGAATGCTCTAACAATTAAAAAAAGTGTAGGGTGTCTAAAAGCTGAAGACTTCTGGGCTGCTGATGGCAATTAATAACTTAATTAGACAAATACCTCTATTGCTTTTAGAAGGTGTTTTTCTATTAGTGACATAGGTCCTGTCTACACTGGCAAGTTTCTGTGCAGTAAAGCAGCTTTTTGCACTGTAACTCCAGAGGTGTACACACTGCCAAGCCACTTAGTGGCTCTGCTGCCCTACACTCAGGTGACCAAACGTGAGCCCCACCCCTTAAATTCCTTGGAAATTTTGAAAGTCCCCTTCCTGTTTGCTCAGTGACGCGTGCAGTGGTCTCAGCGCATCTTTCCAGGTGGCCATGCCTGCTCCACAAACCCGGCGATCCCCCACTTGGAGCAATGCTAAGCTGCTGGACCTCATCAGCATTTGGGGAGAGGAGGCTGTCTAGTCCCAGCTGCGCTCCAGCCGTAGGAATGATGATACCTACAGACAGATTTCATGATGCATGACAGAAAGGGGCCATGACCGGGACACACTGCAGTGCAGGGTCAAAGTGAAGGAGCTGCGGAATGCCTACCACAAGGCGAGGGAGGCAAACTGCCGCTCTGGTGCTGTGCCCATGAGCTGCTGGTTCTACAAAGAGCAGGACGCTATACTCGGCAGTGACCCCACCTCCACTGCGAAGGCCATGGTGGATACTTTGGTGGCTCATGAGCCAGCTGAGAGTGGACCGAGCCAGGAGAAGGAAATATTGGATGAGGATCTGAAGGGGGAGGTGGACCCAGAGGCAGAGGACGACTCAGAGGTCAGAGATGCACGCTGCCAGGAGCTCTTTTCTACCCCGGAGGAGGCTAGCCAATCACAGCTGTCGGAGCTTGGCGAAGCGTAAACAGGACAGGAGACCCCTGGTAAGTGGCTTTGATTTTGGGAATCACTGAAGCAAGTTGTTGAGGGCAGGAAGGTTGCAGAAAGCAGGCTTGTGTCTGTATGATGTGTGTACCGCCACATGCCTAGTCTGAGCAGCGGAACAGGGTGTTGACTCCGTCACTTCACGGGAATGTGCCTCAGAGATCTCCACGAAACTCCCATAGAGATACTGGGCAATCCACTGCCGCAGGTTCTTTCGCAGAGCTGCTTTGTTTCTTGCCCCATTAAGGGTAACTTTCCCATGCCACTCTGCTGTCACTTGGCGGGGACCATTGCTGCACACAGGTGAGCCGCATAAGGGCCAGGGCAAAAGCTGCAGTCTTGGAGAAGACCCTCCCTTAATTCGCTGCTCACCCTCAGCAGCAAGATATCTTCCATAATGAACACAGCCCGTGGAAAATGTGGGGACAGTAATGATTAAGGCTTCAGAAATATGACCTTTGGAGCCCAGCCTCCCTCTTTGTTATCACCGGCTGAATGGCTGCGCAGAATTAGAAAGTGGCATTGAAGACCTAAAAAGGACTTTTTGCGTGAGGTTATGAGGCTCTCCTTGGCTGAAAAACAGGAATTGAAGGAGTGACATGACAACGAGAAGAGGGACCGAAAGGAGAACTCAGCGCGCCAGAACGAAGCCATGGAGCGGTTCTTAAACGTTATGGAGCGCCAAGTGGACACGCTCCAGGTGCTACTAGCACTGCAAACTGAGCAGCTCTGCACCCGCCCTCCCCTACAGCCGCTGTTGCAAAACTCTCCCATGTGCCCCCCAGACACCGCCAACACACTCTTATCAATCTCCTGGCTCCAGTCTGTACCCGCTGCATTCCAATCCTGCCCCATCACAGTCCAGCCCTGTGGACTCCCAGTACCCACTGCACTCAACACCCATCCCTCTGCAGTTTAACCCTGCTGAAGTACAGTACCCGCTGTACTGTATTCCAAAGGAGAAAGTTGGATATGATACCCGGACATACACAAATCTTTACTTGTCCCAGGACCCCACCTCCTCCTGGGACCCTCCCTTCCCCCATCTCCCACAGTGCTGATGTGGTTTTTTTTGTCTCTCTCCTCTGGTTGTTGTTTTTTAATAAAAGAGTTGTTTTCATTTGAAAGCAAACAGAGCCCTGCAAAGCAACAGGCAATTTTCTTAAACCTTCATAGTACATCATCTGCACCATTCACAATCACCTCCTAGCATTACAAGCACTGCACTCTCAAGCATAGCAACAAATATTAGTGACTTTCAGCTTCAAATTGCTGCCTTAAGGCATCCCTGATCCGTATGGCCCCGCACTGCACCCCTATAATAGCCCTGTTCTTTGGCTGTTCAAATTCAGCCTCCAGGTGCCCACATTTCTGTCCGTGCCCATAAGCACCACCCCCACAGCTCCATTGGCCAGTTTCAGGCCCATGGGAGCTGTGAGGACAGTGCTGGGGGTGGGAGCAGCGCACAGTGATCTGCTGTCCCCCTTCTCCCAAGGGGCGTGCAGAGACATGCGAGCAGCAGCCGTCCACTTCCGGGAGCGGCATGGGGCCACGGCATGCATGCAGCCTGCCTGAGTGCACCGCTGGAGTCATGGCGGGCCGGACAGAAATGTTAGATGGGCTGTATTTTGCCCACCCCTGGTCTAAGTGCTGTCCTGAATAGGAATAGACATGCTTAAGCACATGTTTAACTTTAAGCACATGTTTAAATGCTTTAGGCCCTGATTCAATAAGGTACTTAAGTACATGTGTAAATACATTGCTGTATCGGGGTTATAAAATATATAACTTTTGAATTCACCAAGAAAATATTAAATTTTTGCAGTTCTAAATATAATCATGAATATTTATGACTTATTGTTTTTTTCCTAAGTATTATAATTATGGTACTGCCATTTTAAAATTAGCTAGGTATATTTAATCTATTAAACATTTTGAATGCGGGGGGTGGGGGGGGTCCGTCCAACTCAGTGTGGAGGCAGTGTGAGAAAACTTACATTGCCATTGGCTGGGCTGTACTTACCTTCTAGATAAAAAGACCGCAGTTTTCTGTGCTGTCAATTCACTGTCTCACTTAGGGCATGATCCAGTGCCTGTTAAAGTCGATGGAAAGACTCCAATTAAATTCTTTGGTCAGGAACAACCAAATTCGTGTGAAAAATTAAAAACAACCTGTAACCATGCAAAAACCCAAGACAGCTAGAAATCCAACTGCTTGATTTATGTATGCAGGTGCTCTTGGTGCACACACACACAGGATTTGGTGTATGCAACTTGATTGCATGCTGAAAATTGGCATCACAAATTTAGAGGCTGTTTTTGAAAATTTGATCCTCAGAATCAAAGTACAGAGTATGGCCAACTCCAAGCATTAAGAAATCATGAGTCAGGCCAGGCCCCACCCAAAATCAGCGGCGGCTCCAGGCACCAGCACTTCAAGCATGTGCCTGGGGCGGCAAGCCGCGGGGGGCGCCCTGCCGGTCCCTGCGAGGGCGGCAGTCAGGCAGCCTTCAGCGGACCTCCCGCAGGCATGTCGCCAAATCCGCGGGACTGGGGACCTCCGGCAGGCATGCCACCGAAGGCAGCCTGCCTGCCATGCTTGGGGCAGCAAAAAAGCTAGAGCCGCCCCTGCCCAAAATCATGAGCTTGGCTTAAAAATAATGAAAAATTTCAAAATAATACATTTTGTGTTCTTTTTATTTGCCTTCTGGTGTTAGAGAGTTCAAGATTCATGTTCTGAGGGTTTTCTCCATTACTGCAAGAGCTAGAAACATACTTTTTATTTAAAATGAAATCTGAGATTCTCAGGTAGCAGCCTGATTCCAGTGTCTGTGGCTTTAAGAAAATCACCAAATAGCATGAGAGTTGGCAACACTGCAGAAACAGTTAATTATCCATCTGGCTTAAATCTGCTGCAGCTTGGTAAATGTAATACTAATGTATGTATTTTAACTTATTTTTTCTCCTTTTCAGTCTGTTTTAGAAGAGGACAGAAACAGGTTGTGCAAACAAATATACCCATTCACCGTGAATATAAAGTTCCAAAATTACCTCCACCAAGTTTGGCTTCCAGTGAGGAAGATCTGGCTGAGGCAGTTGTCCACACACCTACTCCATCAGTTAGAAACCAGGAGACCCCTTTAGCACAGACTATTGCACCAGAAGAAAAGAAAAAAGAACCTGAAGAACCTGAGCTCTTATGGACTAACACAGAAATTGACAAAGACACAGAGTTAGATGAGTTAGACAAGCTTCAGAACAGTGTTTCTCCATTACTTTCTGAAACAGAACACACTCCCTCAGATTTCAGTAGGCCGACTTCAAGTATAAAGAGCAACCAGACACTGTTCAGCTTTGAGAGAGAAACTGACTGGTCAGGTATGTACTATATAAATTTCTGTCGCTATCATATTTTTCTACTGGTATTCATTTACTCCATTTTACTTTTAGCCTAATCTTCAGCAAGACAGGGACTAGTACTGTAGCTGGATAGATGATATATTAGGAAATGTTTGAATCAACTAGCCTGTGTAACATGCTTCCAAAACCAGTTGACGAGTCACCATATTTTCTGTTGCAAATTAAATAATTCAGTATTGAAATTCTTTTATTTTTCACTCCTCCCCTGCCCCCGCCAAGAGCCTTTGAAGTGCTAAACGCTCCTGTCTTTGAAACTTGATAAGGAATCAAATTCAATTCTTAAGGATACTCATGTTTTCTGTATGTTAGGACTAATGACAAGGAAAAGAAATCAAACTGCAAAAATAAAGGGCTTGATTCTGCAGCCCTGACTCCCAGTGAAGGATGCTTATTCACTAAAGTAACCCCACTGGGTCACTGATGAACATATCCAATCTAAGGGGGATGGTGTTTCAAACCTTGCTGAGGATGGATAAACCATTTTAGGGCTCACATGGTACAAAGACTTTATCAGCACTCACTTGGGATGACTTGCAGAGATCATTTGTGTCTTTGTCACTCATGAGTAAGGCTGCAAGTTTGTCACAGAGGTCACAGAAGTCACGGATTTTGTGACTTTCCGGGACCGTTGTGACTTTTGCAGCGGCCGGTGCAGCTGGCCCAGGGGCTGCCGGTGCAGCTCGGGAAGCCCCTGGGCCAGCCACATCGGCCGCTGCTGGGGCAGTCTCGTTCCACAGCCTCTCCCCGCCAGCAGTAGCAGGAGTTTGGGTGTGGGAGGGGGCTCAGGGCTTGGGCACAGGAGGGGGTGAGGGCTCTGGCGGTGCTTACCTCAGGGGACTCCCAAGAAGCGGTGACATCCACCTCCCTCAGTTCCTAGGCAGAGACCACGCGCTGCCTCCGCCTGCAGGCACCACCCCTGCAGCTCGCATTGGCCAGAGTTTCCAGCCAATGGGAGCTGTGGAGCTGATGCTCGGGGCAGAGGCAGCGTGCAGACCGTCTAGGAGCTGAGGGAGGGACACATATCGCTGCTTCCAGTGAGCTCCGCAGAGCCTGGTTAGGGTAAGGAGCCTGCCAACCCTGCCAACCAGTGGGGGTCCTGGGCTGCTCCCCCCAGAGCATTCGTGGCACCTCTGGGCCATCCCTCTGAGCACCCATGGCACACCCCAGGCCGCCCCACCCCCCCAAGATTTAGTCAGGGGTATATAGTACACATCATGGACAGGTCACGGGCGGTGAATTTTTGTTTACTGCCCGTGACCTGTCCATGACATTTACTAAAAATACCCGTGACTAAAACGTAGCCTTACTCATGAGTGATGTGCCCTTTGCTGATAAAATTTATTCTATGTATATTTTATGTATATATAGTGAGAGTTATATAAAATACATATGCACCCAGGAAATAGCAGTGTGTTTCGGTATCTGTTTGCACAGATACTTAACAAAATATCTATTTTACAGATTTTTCTAGAAAACTCTCCAGTGCAACCAGCACACCTCTTTCTCAGATTCACACTTTCTCTTTTTCCATGTCTGCAATGGCTTCCTCAGACACAGAACTTGAAGCAGCCAGTAGCAGTAGCCAAACCTCCTACCAACCCATTCTGGATACAAGCTCTCTACTGGTGGCAAGTGGTTACTGCAGTGGCTTTCTGAGCCCCAGTCTGAACAGTTCCAGTTACCATGGCACTGCAAACATTCTCCAGGCTTCATCATATTCTGTGAAAAAATGCTCAGGGCAAACACCTTCTTTCGTGGAAATTTGGCATGACCGTCTCCTGCACCACTGGCCTGTTCTTCCACCGATCTCCCCACAAAGAGGTTAATAAATGTTTATTTTTTCCCCTGTTTCCATATGGTTTGTTCACAGGCTTTTGCTTGTATGTGTATGAATGCTCACTTGCATTGACTGCTGTGAGGGAATTGTTCCACGAATGCTGGCCATCTTCAAATCAATGCCTGCACATAACAACAGAAAGTGCCTCAGATGTAGTGGTTTCCACAGGACCATTGTTAGGCTTTTGTGAAGCATTTTTAAACCTAATAAATAATGTCAAAAGTCTCTATCCTAGCCAAAAATGTTCCTTTTGAAACAGCTCTAATAGTATTTTTTTGTTCTGTGATGTCTCCCAGTGTTGTGAAGAATTTGAGCTTCACAATAGGAATCTGGTGTATCGCGTGCCACTTTGCAACGTGTTTTTTTTTTAAAAATATAAAGCCTTTTTCTTTTGCCAAGGAGAACTCCCATCTTTTCGCTTAAATGTTTCTTTTTTTAAATAATCATCTTCATTTTGAAGGTTACTGTTTTAAATGAAACTAAATGCCACAAAATACAGTATGATCAAATGTTAATGATGCAGGAATGAAGTGAAGGGAAATGAAATATTGAACTCAATTAGATGCTATTTCAGTGAGTTTCCTCTGTGTGTTGTTGCGTAACTCATAATTAAATTAAGTCTAAAGCCTTTTGCTTTATGCACTGAGAAACAATGATCACTGTGGTCAAAGATGATTGCAATGGTCCTTACTGGCCTTAAAATCCTTGAATCTAAACCCTTATGACAATTTATGGTGAAAGAAACTCTAATTAATTGGAGACTCACTACAATTCATTGTATGCCATGTAGTATATGATAGCAACAAACTCCGATTGTCCTTAAACAGCAGTTTAATTTGTAGGTAATATCACCATTTCTAGGATACAGTAGCCTCTAATAAATCAACCTAGCTCTATGGAGAACATTTACGAGATGTATTTGATTTCTGTGCATCGTACTTTGCTCTTTTTGATCTGTTGGGATCTTGATATTTGGGAGAAAGTAGAAAGACTTACATGTGCGTGTCTAAGTCCAGTATGGTGCTCAAGTTACTTGATATTGTAAGTAGTCACTTACATCTAGGCTATGATTCATTCAGAGAAAGTCAAATTGTTTCTATCTGGCAATGGAGGTTGCATTTTGACATGTTTTATGGCTACAGTAGTAATATATATTATATGATATATAGACAGGCTACCTTCTGTGTTTATCAGGGAACAATGCAAGGCCCAAAACAAAAAGTAAGTCACTGCAACTGTATTACAGTGCATCATTCTAGGCGTTGGCACTGATACATTTAAGCCTCTAATATTCTGCACTATAGTTCAGCTGATTTTTGTTGGTGTTCATTGTCCTATGTAGTCCACATTTAAAAAATGTCACTGCACATCCATGCACCATTCTTAGGTCCTGAGCTATGGCAATTGTTACAGCAGGAGGTACATACTGTAAATGCTGGTTGCCATGGTTTCCTATGGAAATAATGGCTTCCAGTAACTGTGAGTTGATATGACATGGTGTGCAAGATTGAACATCATATCCTTTTTCTTGGAAAGAAAAATGAGTGTCACCAGTGCATTTTTCTTATATATTGATAAATAACAGCATATCTTTCAATCAGTTATTAAAGTAGGTAAAGGTGACAAATTTAAAGTACAGACAAACACTTCAAAATTACTCTAGAATTCCAGGTTTACCTCTGGATGTTCTATATCAAGATGAGTAAAAGGATGATCTTTTCTAACCGCCACTTCCAAATGTAACCTGCGGTCTCGAAGTCAAGCAGTGTTCTTCCTGGCTAATCATGCATTACCACCCGTAATTAAGGTTCTGCAATCAGAACTTAGTTAACTGTTTTGTTGATGTATGAGCCAGAAAAGAGCCAGCATTGTCCGGCTATATGGAAAGAAGGACAGGAAACCTTGATATGTTTTAATCAGGCTGCAACTATATTATTAGATGTCTGGGACTACCCGGCAGATAAAAGTGTACAGTGCAGGTACATGGGGAGGGGAGGCTTACGCCAGCCCCCACATTTTCTGTTCAGGTCCCCCAGCCAATACGTTGCTGGGACCTTATCATCCCTACCTCGAACGAAGGTTAAAGTGTGCTATAAAAAAGGGTGTTGACTCCCCGCCATGTTAGTCATAGGAGCCCTGAATCCTCCCGTTCTGCTCTTTTAAGTCCTTTACCATGCCATTTATCCGGTCACTGTATCCTCCCTATCCTATCCTACCTGCACTGGACAGCCGCCCCACACTTACTGAATGAGTTGTGATATTATAGCTTAACTCCCTTCCCTACTCAGCACAACAAGGCCCTCCCTGAACCTGCTGTAGGGAAGGCAACCCCCCCCCT